TGCAGCCATCATTGTTGTTTGGTGGGCCGGGCTGGGGATTCGAACCCGCCACCTTAGGTGTATGTGGCTGGCACCTTAGCCGCTTGAGCCACAGGCGCCGAGCCTAGATTTTTTTTTTTTTTAAGAGGCAAAGCCTTACTTTTTGGCCCAGACTAGAACACAGTGGTGTAATCATAGCTCACTGTAACCTCTGTCGAGCTCAAGCGACCCTCCTGCCTCAGCCTCCAGAGTAGCCAGAACTGGAGGCATGCTTGTGCCACCACACCCAGCAGATTTTAATTTTTTTTTTTTTTTTTTGAGACAGTCTCACTGTCTCCCTGGGTAGAGGCCCATGGCATCATAAGTCACAACAACCTCAAACTCTTGGGCTTAAGCAATTCTCTTGCCTCAGCCTCCTAAGTAGCTAGGACTACCAGTGCCCACCACAACGCCTAGCTATATTTTGGTTACTGTTGTTGTTGTTTAGCAGACCGGGGCCGGGCTCAAACCCATCACCATCAGTGTATGTAGCCGGCACTCTACTCACTGAGCTATGGGTGCCAAGCCTGATTTTTAAATTTTTTTGTAAAAGTGGGATCTCACTGTGTTGCCCAGGCTGGCCTTAAGCAATCATCCCTCCACAAACTCTTAAAGCACTAGGATTGCAGGCGTGAGAGTGAGTGCCTGGCAATAGACACTAGCTTCAGAATGTCCACTCTATGTTAAATGTTGATATTACTTCAAAAAGTTTCATTGTAACATGTTGTTTAATTTGAGGAAGAGATCATTTGTGAAGAATTATTTTAAAATCATTTTGTAATATATTTTAGTCTATCTTCCTGAATTATTTTGATTACGTAACTTTTTTTTTCTTAGAACAGAGTCTCAACTTTGTTGCCCTCAATAGAATGCTGTGACATCACAGCTCACAGTAACCTCCAGCTCTTGGGCTTAGCCAATTCTCTTGCCTCAGCCTTCCAAGTACCTGGTACTATAAGCCCCTGCCACAACAACGCCTGGCTATTTTTTTTTGTTATTGTTGCAGTTTGGCTGGAGCTGGGTTCAAACCCACAAACCCACCACCCTTGGTATATGGGGCCGGCGCCCCACTCACTGAGTCACAGGCACCGCCCAACATTTTTTTTTTTTTTGAGACAGAGTTACTATGTTTCCCTCAGTAGAGTGCTGTGGCATCACAGCTCACAGCAACCTCAAACTCTTGGGCTGAAGTGATTCTCTAGCCTCAACCTCCCCAGTAGCTGAGACTACAGGCACCCACCACAACCAATGCCCAGCTATTTTTTGGTTGTAGTTGTCATTGTCGTTTGGTGGGCCCGGACTGGATTCAAACCCCCAGCTCCAGTGTATGTGGCTGGCACCCTGGCTGCTGAGCTATAAGTGCCAAACCTTGTTTACTTAACTGACTGGAGGTTGTTGTGAGCTGTGATGCTACAGCACTCTACAGAGGGCAACAAAGTGAGACTTGTCTCTAAAAAAAAAAATAATAACATTTTAGCTATATATCTCTAAAATATAAGGACTTTTTTCTTCTTTTTTTTTTTGAGACAGAGTTACTATGTTGCCCTCAGTAGAGTGCTGTGGCATCACAGCTCACAGCAACCTCAAACTCTTGGGCTTAAGCAATTCTCTTACCTCAGCCTCCCAAGTAGCTGGGACTATAGGCACCCACCACAGTGCCCGGCTATTGTTTTGTTGCAATTGTCATTGTTGTTTAGCTGACCCAGGCTGGGTTCAAACCTGCCAGCCTCTGTGTACGTGGCTGACACTCGACCCACCAAGCTACAGTCATCACCTTAAAGTATAAGGACTTTTAAAGAACATAAATGGTTACTGTTGACTCTCCTTATACAACATGTTTTTAATCCCTTGTGTCACATCTTTGTCCTGGAGGTTGCTGTGACATAATCACATGCTGTCCCTGCACAACATACAGTAACCCTGTTGTTAAATTATGAAACGCTGCTCTCCCCTGATCTACAGTCCCCGTAGTTCAGTGAGTAGGGCTCCAGCCACATACACACCACATACACACAAAGGTTCAAGTCCCACCTTGGCCTGCTAAAACAACAATGACAACTGCAACCAAAAATATAGCTGGGCATTGTGGTGGGAGCCTGTAGTGCCAGCCTCTCAAGAGGCTGAAGCAAGAGACTCACTTAAGCCAAAGAGTTTGAGGTAGATGTGAGCTGTGACGCCACAGCACTCTACCAAGGGTGACATAGTAAAACTCTTGTCTCCAAAAAAAAAAAAAAGAAGAAAAATGCTGTTCTCCCTCCCATCTTGGCCTACATTCTGTGGCAGGAGGAGAGTTCGGAGAAAGGTTATTCTGTTTCAGAGGATTTGGGGTCTCCCAGCTTAGTCTCCGTCACCTCACACCTCACACACAGGTCTGTGATCATACCACACTAACTGGGAGAGCCCTCTGACGTGCTGCCATGGAGCCGAAGTGCCATCACTGTGATAGGTCTTGGCCTTCCAAGGTCTGCCTTTGTTTACTCAAAATCTCTCAATCAAAGTTAGCAGGTTTGCGGTGCACTTAAAATTCTCCTTCATTGAGATTTACTTGAATACCCTCATAAACATTTATTCACAGAATTTTAAAATAAAGTGTTTTATTGCATTCAGTTAGCTCTTATCAAGACTTATCTAAACAATAAAGGGATTCTGTTGAGTGGGTAAGGATGGAAATATTTTCCTTTTGGGCCTTTGTGTTTCTTCTAAAGTTAAGTTTTCCAAATATTCTAGGGGGTAAAAATTGCACCACCTGTTATTCTGTGTTTAACATTTTCTTGTAGAGACTGACCTAACATAATGCCTATCACAAACTAGGCAAAAATGTTTGCTGAATAAAAGAATGGATTCCATAATTATTGCTTTGATTTTTCTTAAAGATAACCTTTTTATTTATAGTGGAGTCACATCATATGCCTACTTAAGCTTATTCAGCAGTATACTGAGCCATGAAAACGTTTTTGTAAAAGTAAAATGATTGGCTCAGCGCCTGTAGCTGAGCGGTTAGGGCACTAGACACATACACCAGAGCTGGCAGGTTCCAATCCAGCCTGGGCCTGCCAAACAACAATGACAACTTTAGCCAGGCACTGTGGTAGGCACCTATAGTCCCAGCTACTTGGGAGACTCAGGCAAGAGAATTGCTTAAGCCCAAGAGTTTGAGGTTGCTGTGAGCTGTGACTCCACGGCACTCTACCCAGGGTGACATAATGAGACTCTGTCTCAAAAAAAAAAAAAAAAAGTAAAATGATTAAGAATTAATCATTGAAAATTGTAGGTAGCATACTTTGACATCAGCAAGTGCGTCCTGTGGGCCCAGGGTGGCCATCTCTGTGCAGCGCCCAGGTGGTGCAGGCCTCTCACTAGGAGCCACCCTGTGCTACATGCAGTGGGCATTTAACAGGACTACTTGGACAGTACTAACATCAGTCCACTGTAGAGTCCGGCATAAGATGTGGCTCCACACTAGCTGTCCCCTTACCACCAGTTGACGCTCAGGTGGGTGGTAGGGCCTGTGACAATTTCTGCTCTGTGCTTCTAGTTACCTAAAAATGTATCACAATTTTCACCTTTCCTCACTAGCTTCATTTGCTCCAATAAGCTTTGCAATCAAGGCCAAAGAAAATGATCTACTTCCCCTGGAAAAAAATCGTGTTAAGCTAGATGATGACAGTGATGATGATGAAGAAAGCAAAGAAGGCCAAGAAAGTTCTAGTAGTGCTGCACACACTAACCCGGCAGTTGCCCCACCCTGTGTAGTTGTTGAGGAGAAGAAGCCTCAACTTACCCAGGAGGAGCTAGAAGCAAAGCAAGGTTTGTCGATAGCTTTTGAACTTCTTGAAAGAAAGAAAATACATAAATATAAGATTTTTCTGCTAATTCAAAATTACTGAGACTGCCAAATGGAATCTCAGGCCTTTGGGATCAGAACCGTTTGGGAGTTGTGTACCATGTCTGAGGTTTCAAAAACTCTGTCAGATGATGAGCTCTGCTCTTTGCAGAGTGTCAGAGGCAGTGCCTTTGGCGATTTTTTTGTTGAGAAGCCTCGGTGGCCAACTTAACACTAATGGGCCACAGTAGAGTGCTCCTGTAGAACTCTCTTTGTGCTGGGTCGGCAGCCCCAGGGTGGAATGTGCAGCCTGCATTCCCAGCTCAGGCTAATGCACCAAACAAGGAGATGCCCTTTTGTGAGGCTGTCTCCCTGAGAAACCACCGGGCCCTTGAAGATGGTGTGTGCCTAGCAGACTTCCAGGCTGGGCTCATCTTCATGGGTCACAGCCCACTGCACACCCCAACCCACAGCCAGCAGTGCTTTGGGACATGTTAATCGTCTTCCTACCCCTCCTCCAAAATAAATTATATCCTGCATTAAAGAGTTAATTAATGATTGCATTTGTGGTTTTTATCTATTCTAACTGATTTTCTTAAATTGCTTCTTCTGTATATACACAAACAGATAAAGCAACATTTATAAAAGGTAATTTTTTAACCACAATATGCCTTCTTATCAAGAACTTAACCTTGTGCTGTGGTCCTCTCCCTAAGCAGACTTGTATTCATGCTTGTGTATGTGAATCTGTACTTCCTGTGTGTAGACTTGACAACTGTCAGAATATTTGGAATAAAACACTTTTCATAGAGTATTCATTGCCTGGTGTGAATACTTTGGATACATGTTTGTGAGAGCCATAATCGAGGGTTCCATTATTTCAGCTTTCACTAGTGTGGAATCCCATCAGCTTTCTGACTTCGCAATTAAAATGTTAAAAAGGCGTTATAAACTAATTCAAAATTTGATTCATCCAATGTGTGTATCTGTTCTGAAATTTGTATCATTCATTTTTTTTAATATCTGTATTCAGTGTAAGACCTTTTTGCTACCTTGAAAATTAGGATAGCAAGGTAAAATACTGCTTACTCTAAACTTCTCTTTCTTTCTTTTCTTTTCTTTTTCTTTTTTTTTTTTAAGCAAAGCAAAAGCTGGAGGACCGCCTTGCAGCTGCTGCCCGGGAAAAGCTGGCTCAGGCATCTAAGGAGTCAAAAGAGAAGCAGCTTCAAGCAGAACGTAAAAGGAAAGCAGCATTATTTTTACAGACCTTAAAAAATCCTCTGCCAGAAGCAGAAGTTGTGAAAGTTGAGGAGAGTCCTTTCAGTGTAGAGGTATGTTAAGGAGATTCCCAGTCATCTTGTGGGGGATAAAGGCAGGTGAAGGTGTGGGTCCACTGGCTGCTCATGTCTCTGGCCTGAGGGAGGGACTTGAACCCACCAGCCCCTTCCTACATGGTATGACAGACTCTGCCTCTCCATCTGTGCATCTTGTAAGAAAGATGATGTTCCTCCTATAGCTGAACACGTGCACATCCAAATGCTGGCTCTGATCTCAGGAAATTCTCAGACCTTTGGGTCCCAGGTTAGCACCCATGCTTTAGAGCTGTCCCTCCAGGGTGACAGGGGGCCTCCAGGAGGGGCCCACGGGTGAACTGTGCTGAGCAGCACTGCTAGAGTACCTCTTCCACAGCTGACACTGTGTTGAGCTCATAGGCAGAAACCTTTGTGTCAGCATCTGTGTCAATGTCTGTTTTAATTAAAAACAGGAAGAAATGGTCTGGGTACAGTAGGGTGACCAGATTTTAACATTTGTAAAGCGGGACAACATGGCTGCGGGAATGGGCAGGGGATGGGGCAGGGCAGGGCCTGACAATGCAAACTTTGATAAGCAGTTCTCAATAATCACTTCTCAACAATTATTTGCTATTATTACAGTTTAACATTATAAAATTAACAAAAATAATATAAAACTCATATTCTGGCAGCATAGCCACATGGCTATTTCCCTTCCTGTTCTCCTGCCCATTCGTGCATTCTTTCCAAAAAATGGGACTTTTTTAAAACGCTACGGGAAGCGGGACAAATTGTTGAAAAGCAGGACGTCTGGTCACCCTAGGGTACAGTGGCTCACAACTGTAATCCCAGCACTCTGGGAGAGCAAGGTAGGCAGATCACCTGAGCTCACCAGTTCAAGACCAGCCTGAGCTAAAGCAAGACTCTATCTCTAAAAACCAGCTGGTCAGCGGTGCCTATAGCTCAGTAAGTAGGGCACCAGCCACATAAACCGAGGCTGGTAGGTTCGAACACAGCCCCGGCTAGATAAAACAACAATGACAGTTGCAACAAAAAAATAGCCAGGCTTTGCGGTGGGTCCTATAGTCCCAGCTACTTGGGAGGCTGAGGCAAGAAAATTGCTTAAGCCCAAGAGTTTGAGGTTGCTGGGAGCTGTGATGCCACGGGATTCTACTGAGGGCAACATAATGAGACTGTCTCAAAAAAAAAAAAAAAAAACCAACGTGGTCACCATTGTCTTAGTAGAGAGGGAGTTGAGAGTACAGACTCTGGGAGTAAGTGGCCCCTTCCACAGTGTTGTGACCCAAGATGTATGTGGTTGCCTTAGGAGGCTCCTGTGGCCTAAAGTTCTCAGAGCAGGACCTGAGACTGGAGGCCTGCGGAAGACTCACGTAGTAGTGGCAGTGGTGGTGGTAGCAGTTAATCATGATCCCTGAAAACTTTGCTGTTTTCTAGTTAGGTTGATTTAGAATCTTTTAAGTTTTATTTCAGATTCTTTGTAGCATTTTATTTGTGAATTTTATTTTGTATTCACACTTTTTTTTGAGACAGAGTCTCACTTTGTCACCCTCCATAGAGTGCTATGGTGTCATAGCTTACAGCAACCTCAGTCTCTTGGGCTCAAGCAATCCTCTTACTTCCGCCTCCTGAGTAGCTGGGACTCCAGTCACCCACCACAACACCCAGCTGTTTTAAGAGACAGGGTCTTGATCTTGCTCAGGCTAGTCTGGAGCTCCTGAGCTCAGGCAATCCACCCCCCTCAGCCTCCCAGAGTTATTTAAACTATACTTGAAGAATATCTAGAGATTCTTTTAGAGGTCCTAGAATATCTTGGAAAACTTTTTTTTTTTTTT